AACCTTGAGACAATGATTAAAATAAATAAATAGAAACAGCTTAAGAACCCATACATAAATTATGCATCAGTCAACTTTGCACGAAGTACTGATCACGGCTTGGGGTTAGCGTTTCTTTACATTTGAGTAAAGCGTGAGGGCATTTAGCTAGAAACAAACCTAGATTACTCGGATTGTTTTTATTATGTTGTTATCAAAGTTGGAAAGCAATCTTCTTCTTAAGTTTAAATTAGCCAATTTTTTCCAAATTGAATGACTTGGTTACTCCTTGAAACCAGTATATTCTGACCTTCAGTTTCTTTCCACTCCTCTCGTATTTTTCTATTGAAAAAATCTTTTATCAGCGTTTCATACAGTTTTAATGAAACTTGAGACAATAATTAAAAAAAAAAATAAAAGAAACAGCTTAAGAACCCCTTTCGTAAATCAAGCAATAGTCAGCTTTGAACGAAGTACTGATCACGACTAACATTTCTGATTAACATTTCTTTACATTCGAGTAAAGCGTGGGGGCGTTTAACATTAATAGAAACAACCTCGATCATTCGGATTTTTCTTTTTTTTCCGAACCTCTTTTCTCTTGCACAAGGATTTCTATGAGTATCGATTGGTCGCATTCGGGATCGATGATAACTTTTTCCCACCAAACAAAGCAAAATTCGCCTAATAAAAAAGAGCTACAGGATGTAATTTCAACAGAGAGAGATGAAAAGTGACAGAATTCCCTCTCACCTTCTAACTCGTACATTTATGAGTCACAATTTGTAGATATATCTGCTGTACCATACATGTATTTCTGTGTTCCTATTTTTGACTTGTGCACGTTAAAATTGGCAACGGAAGCCAATATGCTAAGAAACATTTGTTTCTTCTGATGCACTAATTATTTTCTCATCCTTTGCCCTCTAGCTACCCTACTAATAGTGTTTACTTTCGCTTCCAGACAATTATAATGTAGACACCTGGCAAAGTTGGTAAAGTAAGTGACTAATGACCGACTCCAAGGGATACCGTGAGTTTTGTTGCCCTGGCAGGGCAAGGTAGAGGAATCCTCACTGTTTCCTGTGGTGCTCGTCACTTTAATTTTTATTTTTTTAAAGTGTTTCTCATACATCCCAACTCGAAAATGACTGCAAAAAATAATTTTTATAGGCAGGCTGGCACACACATTTGCTGCGGTTTCACGGTGAACGACCTTATCATGTGAGAGTCGAAAGTCAAGTCGTTGTTTCCCCAGGGGCCAAGTGAATTTTGTTTATCCTGGAAAGTAAGTGTATTTTGATTCACGACTCGCGACATGTTCAGCCCTCCAATCAAAAGACGTATTTAAGTTGGGCATTGCATCACCTGAGAGTCGAAAGTCAAGTCGTTGTTTCCCCGGGGGCTCAGTGAAGTTTGTTTATCCGAGAAAGTAAATGTATTTTGATTCACGACTCACAACATGTTCAGCCCTTCAATCAAAAGACGTATTTAAGTTGGGCATTGCATAAATGTCGCGTTCAGAGCTCTCTAGAAGTCAGGAATTATATTATGCTTTTAGCACCCATAAGCTAATTTGCCTTCAAGTTTCAGTCAACCGAAATCCCGATATTAGCAACGTTATGTGCCCCTTGGAAGAAAACGTTTCCGTTGAGGCGGACCGGAGTAAGCTATGTAGGGGCTCTTTTCATACCGCGTGCATGTTTACAATTAGGAGGCTAAAATAGTTGTCATTCTATACGAGGGGGTTCTCCTATCATATCAAAGGTTTCTGTTGTTGAAGCCCTAAATGTAATAACTGTCCTAAATGTAATAAAGTCCTAAATGTAACTACAGTTGGTCCTAAATGTAATAAAGCCATAAATGTAATAACGTTCGGTCCTAAATGTAATAAGCCCCCTGTGCAGTCGTTAACATTGAGATGTTAAAGTGACAGCTGTTGCACTAAGGAATCCTCTGACCAATTTTCATGGCATATTGCGGGCTCGCTGATATTAATCAGCGTCTTTCTATTTGCTAAAGACGTAGGTTGAGAAGCATTGGCTACAAAACCTTATACTGATGTGCTTTTGGCATCAAATTGACGGACGCAAAGGAATGAGAACGCTAGTCAATAGCTCTCTTAATATCGTTGGCTCAGACTCTATAAGTGTAACAGATTTTGACGATATACTTGTGTGATCAGCGCTGAAGTTAACACTTCATAAAACGAATTACAAGGAAAAGGAAGTCCACCGACTTATACGTTAGACAAATTCCGGGCTCGGAAGTGCTTTGTACTGTCTTCCTTTGCCAGATTTGTATGGGTCTGAATAAAATATATTCACATGCGTTATTGACCAAGCGTGAGGTCAAAATGGCTGGATATTGCCGAGTTCTTTTTTTTTTTTTTTTGCGTTTTTGTGGACTGAGACGAAGTCTCGGTCCATAAAAAAGTAAAAAAAGAACAAGGCTAATATCCAGTCATCTTGACTGAACAAGCTTGGTCTTGTATTCTCTTGGCTTGGTCATTAAAGGATTCATTGTATAGCAAAAGATTTCGCTCTGATAAGAATCAAGAATGGCCTGTTTATTTCGAGAACCGATAGAGAAAGCCAACTGTGTTTGCAACACAATAAACCCAAGAGGGTCGTTTATTTTTTTTCTATGTATATGCCGACATTGTCCAAAAGTTACAAACTTTGTAAGTTTTCTTACGTGGCATCAATACGGGGAATCCCGAGCGGGCGAGGGTGGGCCCATCATGCCCGCTCAGGTAGCCAATCAGAACACAGGATTCACTTCATCTTGCCCGCGCGCGCTGCTAGCTATATGATAAAGTGACTTACGGAGCAAGATATCTACTGACCAATCATATCTTATTCCATTTCACGATCACAGGTCTCGACATGTTGCCTTTTTTCCACTCAAGAGTCAAATTGAACCGTTGAGCTACAACATTCAACACATGATGGTCAGTTGATGGTCTAATGAACCATTTAATTTTTTTCCTTTAGCCCCCTAATGACGGTTCATCAGTTCCCGAACCGAAATATTGAAAAAACATATATTTTAAAGTTGATCTCAAGTTTATATTTCATTTTTTGTCTTCATCTCTTCTCCCCGCCGTGAGGGGAGAAAATGAATAAATAAATAAATGAATGAAAAAAGAAAGCTCAACAGTTTCCACTTATAGTCATATGGTACATGAACTGATTACTGAAGTGGAGTAAAGCCATAGAGGGCTACAAATGCAATATCCGAGGTTCAAAATTGAATAAATCAAGATAGCCATTCTTAAAAATGAACTCAAAGTGCCTTATTAAAATCAATTGACACTGAATAACATTGATGTGCAAAATTTCAGTAAAACTACTGATAATAATGCTTTTCTTTTGGTTTAACATGTGACACAGCGAAATCATTCAAACTACTCTAAAACGATAACATCAACAATAGCATGCTAGTTCAACATCAATTGTAGTCAGTTTCTTTTCCAAAAAGTCCTAATGATTACGTACCAATCGATTCCATCCTATTGAGCTTCCAGCCAAGCACTAGCCCACTTTGGGCTGGAAATGATTTTCTTCAACTCGATCAATAAACCGCTTAAAGGACCATACTCCGACTGCTGATATTTCTTATGTCTAGCAAGTAAAAAGACGCTGATTGATATCAGCGAGCCCGTAATGTGACATATATAATGGTCAGCGGTTTTTAGTGCGACAGCTGTCACTTTAACATCTCAATGTGGATGTCCGCCATAACAACAATGCACTGAAGGAGTTAAACGATTGCATTGGAGGCTTATTACATTTAGGACTTTATTACATTTAGGACCAAATGTTATTACATTTAGGACTTTATTACATTTAGGACAGTTATTACATTTAGGACTTCAACATCTTTGGCAGTCAATTTTCTACACTTCCGGTCTCTTTTTATACTCTGTTGGCCACAACAAATCCTCCTAAACAAAAACATGGGATTGTCCCAAAATCGGGTAAAAACAACGGAAACTTTCTACACGCAACTCTCATAACTCTTAGGGCTTCTTCATATTCACCTGTGCACGATATCAAGAATCAAGATCACCTCTTAAGACTTAGTGAACAACTACACGCAAACTGTATTATGATAGTATCCAAAGTAAACTGTATAATAATAAAATGAAACACGATTGTTTTTCTAGGATTTGAGCTAGTTGGTCGTATCACCAAGATATTATACGCTGACGAAATAAGCTGTGGATTGAGATGCCTTCAAGATAAAAAATGCCAATCTTACAACAGCAAATCCGATGTTAGTGATGCAAAGAAGTAATGTCAGCTGAGTAACCGAACTAAAAAATCAAGTCCCGGAAAACCTGAGACGTAACCCACGTTATAATTATTATGGAAGAGGTACTGTTGAGTACTTAGGAACAAGTCATATTTTTACCACCTGGGTAGAAGGGTAGAAGAGGGGGAAGGAAAGGTCACAGCATTTCGGTTCTCACAATTAATCGAGTCAGCCAATTTTCAAATCAATTTTCAATTTAGGTTCCACCTTAAAAGTCTGTCAGCGACGACCGATCCCATCTCCGTTCCCTTTGAAAACCAGGATACCCCCACCCCCCCCCCCCGTAAGACCCTCCTACCCCTCCCACTCCCTTTTTCCAAGCGAAGAATGGTGACCTATTCCTTACTTCTCCTAAGGACTTTTCAGAGAATATAAATTCTATGATCTCTTGCCTTTCCTTATAACTTTTCCTTTTTTTAATTTGAGATAGAAGGATGCTATGTATCCTACAAATATTTCCAAAATCAAAAGCTATCTAATGATCACGCGAAAGGAACTACTTTTCGAATAAGACCTATGTGAGGTGTCTCCTCGTTCCAAATGATTATTCTTCCCTCTTCCCTGTAGATAAACGAGGCTGAGATTCTGCTCATTCGGCCTTCTCCTGTAAGGAAATTTTGCGCTCTGGACACTCCAAAGGAGACGGGGAGTATTGGATCCACCCCGAGAAGAGTGGAAACCCTTAGAGGGTCTATTGTGACATGTCAAGATATGGTGGTAAGTGAATAAGTTTTTTTTAGAGACACGAGGACTTTAACCGGAGTATATTTGACTTGGAGCAGTTTCTATTAGAACATTCTGGTCTTGGCTATTCGTGCTTTCTGTACAAAGATCTTTATTGTGTTTTTTAATCGAAACTGTGACCAAATTCTGGAACGTGATTGGTTATATTTTTCTCGTTTTAGTTTCAACAAGCGGCGCCAGTGACTGGCAGGCATGCAAGGATTCACACTGAAATAACAGAACAATCTTCGTTTTTCATAAAATTGTAATTTACAATCCTTGAACTTGAAAACAATACGAAGATTCATTGAAAATATCACTTACTGCGAAGCGCTCGGAGTTAACAGATGTTCAAAAGCTTTTTCTGTTATGGCGTGAGATTGAGGACAAAATCGATCATTACGTTTCGTATCGTGTTTTTTTCCTGTGTAAAGCAACAAAAGATGCCGGCGACTGACGAAGTTACAAGTTAACACGAAAATCAAATAACACCTAAACAAACAATTTTAGCTACCGATTTTCAGTGAATTTTTAAAGGACAATTTTCTTTTAAGCTTCAAGACAATTTGAAGATTCAAAATACATATTACGTACTAAAATGCGAAAGTTATACACCACAAAATTGATAAATAGGCCTGAAATGAAATTCTATCTTTTTGTTGATTATACATTTCCTAGCACGTGACTAAAATCTACCCAGGCGGAGATCCAAAATGACGGTGGCAGCCTTGGCTTAGTTATATCACTCAAAACTCGTTCCCGTTTGTCTCATTTGATAAAGAGGGAATCGTTAATTTTTTCATTAAGACAGTATTGCCTTGATTTTCTAATATTTACAATGATAGACAGTAAATTTCACTTTTCACCCACATTTACTTCCAACCTTTTCTTTTGAACCGGAAACAAAAATGATATACGTTTAAAACACATTACATCATCCACCCTTGTCAAATGTAATAGCATGATCATTTCAATTGTAATGCCTTCTTATCCCAACGTTACTTTGTTTCTTTGCTACATTAGCGAACACTGAACTACCGCTCGTACTCTAGATATGACAATCAACATCAAAATTCCCTAAACCAGATAACATTAAATATAATCCAAAAAATCATGTGTCAATTCACGAGTTTGCTCACAGAGCACTTTCATTTTTTTAGGTGCCGGTGGTACACAGCGACTTCCAAGAGCTGTTGGGAAGTCCCTGGCTATGGAAATGATACTAACAGGAGATCCTATTTCAGCAGAGGATGCACAGAAATCAGGTCCATGTTCCTTTTAACTAATCTCCTATTTTTGACCGGTTGTTCATCATTACCTCTTTACCTTACAAAATTGATCAACATGCAACTTCTCCCTGTAATAAATATACATCATCCAGCAAACGGATAATGAGAATATTTAACTTATCAGTTCAAAGTTGTTATTGATCCAACATCAAATTCTCATAACTAATTAAAAAGGAAATGTGTAGCAGCTAGAGGGGAGAATTAACAATCAGATCTTGGGGGTTAAAGGGTCAAGGAGGAAGGTACTTAGCATCGCAAGTCTTCCCGGTGGCACTAGGAAATTCTCACACAAATTATTGAGAAATGTATACAATACTTCCACATCATCAAGGACTGCAACGGAGACACACTGTTTTATGCTAAAAACTTGTGTAAGCCTGCAAAATTTGAATTAAAGGCGTAGATTTTTCCCTTCTGTTTATTAGCATTTCCGCGAAGGAACCGTTCACTTCCGAAGATGTTTTTCAGAGTTTACGTTTATTCGAGTAGATTTGCTCTATATACTTTTTTAAAAAAGTCGTAGTTGAGGCCGCGTTACTTCAAATTGTTCAGCTAGGTTAAAGGACTAAACTGTGAACTTGGGGCATGCCCTCCTGTGATAAAACTGGTACACACTCATTCTTGAGATGTTTCTTTACCCAGATTCAAATTCAAATTACAGAATTAGACAGTTTTCCTATTTTTTATAAGGCCTGGTTAGTAAAGTCTTCCCCGCAGAAGAGCTCGTAAATGAAGCTATCAAGACAGCTTCTAAAACATCATCCTTGTCGAAGATCGCTGTACAGATCGCCAAAGAAGCTGTCAACACAGGTATTACCCTGGCAGTTGTAACCGTCCCATTGGCTGTTTCTTGCTATGAGTTATATTTTGATTAATCGAAGGATTTTATGTCTACTGCAATCGGCGTTAATCTTGTCCATCGCTAGTCGTTTCTTGTTGGTTTAGTAGTTAATCTCAAAACAATTATCTTTTCTATTTGACTGTTCTATTGCGAGACTATTGTGAGAGTTCCTTAGACCGTTGAATTTCCCAAATGTCTTTTTGTTCAGGCGTCTGAAATCCTTTTTTTCCTCTTTTATTTATTAGGCTACGAGAAGGACTGCATTTTGAGAAAAGAATGTTTCACTCAACTTTTTCAACAGTAAGTTAATATTGATCGGCGTTTACACTTGAAAGAAGACGGCAATTGCAATACAAAGTGGTAAAGCCACTCAACCATTTCCCGAAAACATATCACCTACTCTCTCTGATTTAGAGCAATCTACTGATTTCTTCACGTCTTCTGCGCAACCGAAGTAATTCAATTTAAAACGTGAAAATGTTCCTATGTTCTTACCAAAAGCGTAGCTCCATCTTTCTGCATGTAAACTACACACCACCCACAATTCCTCTATTCGCTCTGACGAACGGCTAAGGCTAGGAACGTCAGCTTTAGAAACTCTCTATGGTGGCCACTTTGCATTATCAACGCTTTTGATAAAAATGATATTTGTGATACCCCACCCGCCGCAGCACCACAGTTTCTCTAGAAACTTACCCCGTCTATTCAATTGTTACCATGGTGATGAATAACAGTATAGTGAACTTGTAAAGACTTGCGATGAAACTTTCCCTAAGGAAAATTTTCTCTTTTTCTTTCATTTCGCAGGACCATCGAAAGGAAGGGATGACAGCTTTTGTAGGGAAACGAAAAGCCGAATTCACGGACAATTAGTATCTGTTTTTTTCGGAAAGTCGTAGCCTGCGAGAACTTTGGATTGTTGTGTGGGAATGTTAAGGCAGGTGAAAGAATAGTGAAAGCTTATGTAAAATTGTGTGAACAAAAATACTTACCAAAAAAAAAACTTAACTAGCGAAATTGATAGAAAAACTTAAAATAAATAAAGTAAAATCATAGTCATTTTTCGTTCGTTCGCTCATCTGTTGAACGGATACTGTGGGGTATACATTGGGACTGGGGTGAGTATAGATTTAAGTTCTGGTCAGTTCGATGTGTTAATTAAGACTCGAGCCAGGAATACTAAGTGACGCTGTAAATGACGGCTCTTCAGTAAACTTTCTGGAAAAACTAATCCAAGGCAAACCAAGTTTTTCGACTTGTTTCCTCACAGTTCACTTTTCTTTCGTTTGAATCAAATTCTTGGAAGAAAAGGATTTATTTGCTGTAAGGCACCTTGTAAAAACAAGCCTGAAAGGTCAATGTCTGTATGATTACTTTTTTTTCGTCCAGGTTTCCCAGCTAGCTTCGACCTTTCGTGCTAGGCATGGTTTTTCTTAATAGTTTTCCGCCACATCAAATATGGCGTTCAAATTTTTTTGACTTTTCGTGAATTTTTTCCGAACTGCAAAGCGTTTTTTTCTTCTTCCACTGGAATGTTTGTATTCACGCGCGACGCAGGTGATTCGACCAACTAGCCAATCTTGTTTAGATCCTTGAACTTGACATTGAGATTGACAAGGCCAATTTCCTTAGCATTAGATCAACCTTACATTAAGAAGAAAGCAGTCGTGAAAATTTAATCGTTACGTACCTCTCAACGCAAATAAGTTTTCTGATTTGAAGAGAACATATCGCGGGCCGGGAATCAAAATACACCAACTTTCTAAGTGAACAAAATTCACTTAGTCCTGAGGGAAACAAGAACTTAAACTTTCGACTCTCACGTGATAAGGTCGTGCACTGTGAAACTGCAGCAAATGTGAGTGCCAGCCTGCGAAAACAAAATAATTTTTTAGTCATTTTCGAGTTGGGAGGTATAACAAAACACTTTTGAAAATTAAAATCAAAGTGACTGGCCCCACGGGAAACAGTGAGAATTGCTTTCCCTTGACCTTCCGTGGAAACAAAACTCATTGTTTCCTTTGGAATCAGTTAGTCGCTTAGTTTATCAACCTTGCCAGGTGTCTGTATTAGAATTGTCTGTAAGCGAAAGTAAACACCATTAGTAGGGTAGCTAGAGGGGGCAAAAGGTGAGAAAATAATTAGAGCATCGGAAGAAATATATATTTCTTAGCATATTGGCTTCGGTTATTAGATTTAACTAACACGGGTGCAAAACAGGAACACACAAAAATATGTATGGTACAACAGATATACCAACACACTGTGACTCATAAATGTAGAAGTTAGAATGTGAGAAGGAATCCTGTCAGTTTCATCACTGAAGAAAACTTTTAACCTTGAAATTACATCCTGTAGCTCTTTTTCACTGGGCGAATTTAGCTTTTCTGGTGGGAAAAAGTTGTTTTGTATCCTGAATACGACTAATTGATACTCATAAAAAACCGGGTACAGAAGAAAAGAAATCCGGATAACCAAAAAAATCCGAATAATTTAGGTTTGCTTCTATTAAAGTTAAATGCCCCCATGCTTTACTCAATGTAAAGAAACGCTAACCCCAAGTCGTGATCAGTACTTCGTGCAAAGTTGACTGATGCATAATTTATGTATGGGTTCTCGAGCTGTTTCTATTTATTTCTTTTAATTATTGTCTCAAGCTTCATTAAAATTGTATGAAAAGTTGATAATAGAGTTTTTCAATAGAAAAATTCGAGAGAAGTGGAAAGAAACTGAAGGTAAGAATATACTGGTTTCAAGGAGTAACCAAGTCATTCAATTTGGAGAAATTGGTTAATTTAAACTTCAAAAGAAGATTGCTCTTCAACTTTGACAACAACATAAATCTTGAATAGTCAGCCGCTTCGAGAAATACGTTTGAGTGAGAAGTATAAATACAAAAGACCTTTACTACCGCATAAACGTGAGAAGAAAAGTCGAGGAAAAGTAAGAAAAGGAAGGTGAGTGTGAGTGAGAAACTCGATGTATTTACTTACTATCGGGTGAGTAACTTGTGCAAGCCAGCGGACAAGAATTAATCCTTAGCAGGAGAGATAGTTTTATATAACTTGGTAGTTTAAAAAGTCCTCGCATTCTATCTCCAGGTCAGACGGCAAAATTGTAATTAACAAAACCCTAAAGTCACAAATATTTCTTGCATCAAAAAAGGGAAAAAGGCGACATTTGTCATCTGTTTTTCTTTCTTTCTTAAATTACAGGATGAGAGGGCTTCTAGTTGGTTTCCATTTCTGTCCCGTTCTGTTGAGTGGTGTTGCTTTGTTTCTTGTGGCTTTCAGTTCGTCTGCTCGCATTGACTTGAGCAGGAACGAGGTTTTCGAGAGAGTTGAAGGTAACATATGAATGTGTTATACCTCCCAACATAGAGATTTTTTTTTCCGACGGGATGTGAATATTTCAAGTGTCATGGGAGAAAATTCGGATCGGATGACACATTTTGGCTGTGTCATGATAAACTTTACATTCCCTCCCCCCCCCCCCCCCATAAGGCTCTGGAACAATCTTACGATCCTCCTCATTGGCAGTCAATTCTCTATACTTCCCCTTTTTATACTCTGCCACAACAGATCCCCCATAAAAAAATACGAGATTGCCCCAAAATCGGGTAAAAACAACAGAAACTTTCTACGCTCAACTCTCATAACTCCTAGGGCTACTTCATATTTACCTTTGTGCACTATCAAGAATCAAGATATATATGTTATTTGCCGGCTGGGAAGTCCGTATGGTGAAAAACTGTGACCGAGGTCTTGAAAATACTGCCCGAGGCCGTAGGCCGAGGGCAGTATTTTCAAGACCGAGGTCACAGTTTTTCACCATACGGACCGACCCTTAGCCGGTAAATAACATATTTATTGTTTTTAAACTTGACGAAATTCTTTCCGAAAGAACCCGAAGGATTTATGGCCGTAAATACGGCAAGATCTTCCATAAACTGAACAATTTTTGAGTGAGTAAATGGTAGTTAAAACAGAGGTGATGCAAATTTAAGAGAGATGCCTCAGCGAAACATTTTCATTTCTGTAACGATAAAGGTGATTTAAAAGGCTTCCAAACAAACTTTGAAACATTATTTTTACAAGTATCTGTCACAATCTGACACCTGTCAATTAGAGAGCGCGCAAGAAAAAAAAAAGCGTAGGAACATTTGAAAACTAACAGAACTTAGTTTGGCAAGGACTGTCACGACAATGTTTTCTTCAAAATCAGTTAATGATCTAACGGAAAGTATTATTCACTCTCATCGACCATTCATTCATGTACGAAGATTTACCTCTGTTCATTAGGTAAACGGCGAGGAAAGTAATTGTGAGTAAATTCAATTTTTTTATTTTGAAGTTGTGAGAGTTTGCTCGTTTGTTTGCTGTAATGGCGTGTTTAACTCTGATCTTTCCTTCACAAAAACTAAATTCGAACGGCACACTCCAACGAGACACAAGGGAATGTAATGCGACCTTTTCTCAAAAAATTCCTTCAATTTCTGTTGTGCAATTTAAGGTACAAATGTCCAAATTGAACGGAATTGGAAAGACTCACCAGGAGCGTATATTTGTTGTAGAACTTAAATTAAAACTTCGCTCGCTCTTTCACTATGAACAAATTGCTCGAGAAAATTCAGATATTAAATGAATGAAAGTTCCATCGTTCAGTTTAACTGTAACCAAATACCTCACGTTTCAACTTTCTGGGTACTTTTTGTGAACGATTAAAATTAATTCCAGACGGTTTTTAGGCCGCTTGTCAACCAACGTAATGAAACTATTGTTTCATTCTGAAACCAATATTTTTCTGTCAACCAAAGTGATTTGATAGAGAGAAAAGAGAGGATTCATAAGTTATTTATCGGCTTGAGGTAGTGACCGAAGTGTTTGCTTAAAAATACTGCCCAGCCGGAAAACGAGGTATATTTATGAAAAATGACAACGAAAGTTGGGATGTACTCGGCGACTCACGAAAGCGTTACCGTGGCCCGTGGGCAGAGATAGGAAAATACTGACCGGGTAAAGAACCAATCAGATTGCAAGATTCGTTACCGTGCCCTCTAAAAAAAACAATAAGACCTCTTAAGACAGGGTAAACAACTACACACAAACTGTATCATGAAAGTATCCAAAGTAAACTGTGTGATGATAATTAAAACACGATTGTGTTTTTTTCTAGGATTTGAGCTAATTGGTCATATCACCAAGACATTATACGCTGACGAAATAAGCTGTGGATTGAGATGCCTTCAAGATGAAAAATGCCAATCTTACAACAGCAAATCCGATGCTAATGATGCAAAGAAGGAATGTCAACTGAGTAATCAAACCGAAAAATCAAGTCCAGAAAACCTGAGGCGTAACCCACGTTCTACTTATTATGGAAGAGGTACTGTTGAGTAAGGTGCTTAACATCATGGAAAAGTTAGTGGAGGTGGGAGGGGGGGTATGAAGGGTCGGAGTGTTTTGGTTGTCACAATAAAGTTTTCCTGATCCTTCCATAACGTTCCGAATGATTCTATCGATCTTCCTCATTGGCCGCCAATTTTCTTTAGTCCCACCTTTAAACTCTGTTCGCGACGACTGATCCCCTCTCCGTTTCCTTTGAAAACCATGAGATGCCCCCTCCCACCCCTCCCACCCCTCCCACCCCCTCTTTCCAAGCGAAAAGTGGTGACCTATTTCTTACTTCTGGTCAGCGTATGTATAACATAGCATGTATAACCTTTCCTGAGAGAATATGAAGTTTAAAATCTCTTGCTTTTCCTTATAATGATAGGTTTTCCATTTTCTTAGTTTGAATTGAAAGATGCTATGGATCCTACAAAGATTTCCAAAATCAAGAGCTATCTAATAATTACGCAAAAGTAACAACTTATGGAATAAGACCTCTGTGGCGTGTTTTGTTTCTTAGTTTGATCCTCTCATCGTTCCAAATGATTATTCTTCCCTTTTCCGATGCAGGTAAACGAGGTTGGGATTCTGCTCATCCGGCTTTCTCCTGTAAGGAAATTCTGGACTCTGGACACTCCAAAGGAGACGGGGAGTATTGGATCGACCCAGAGAAGAGTGGAAACCCTTTGAAGGTCTATTGTGACATGTCAAGATATGGTGGTAAGAGAATGGATTTTTTTTTGAGACACGAGGACTTCAACCGGAGTATGTTTGACTTGGTGCAGTTGTTATTGGAACGTTCTGGTCTTGGCTATTCGTATTATGTTTTTAATCAAAACAATGGCAAAATTCTCGAACGTGATTTGTTATCACCAGACGGCCGATTTGAGCACTAAAAGGACAGTGTACGTGTCATGCTTGTAATTGGACAATGTAATGGGACAGTTAAGAAGACAGTTAACACGTCATGCCTGCCTGAGTAGACGGATAGCGTCATGTGTGCGCTGTTGTCTCGCATTTCGCCGAGTTAACTGTTGTTTTTTTGTTTTTATGAAAACGTATGTCTAGTTTTATGAAAACTGATGTCTAGTTTCTTTCTCAAATTTTAACACAGTTTTGATTAATTGGTAACAGGACTTTGGACTGTCGTCCAATTCTGTCAGTAATGATACTCGTGATTAACAATTCGGTCTCCCGCTTTGCGGTCCTACGATTTTGATAATCACTCGTATGATTTCAGACCGAATTGGACTCCGCTCGGTTCTGTTACCACTATTAATATGTCCAAAATTCTATTTACATAGATGTAACCAGATCATTTAGGTTTGTTTTATTTTAGGAGGTTGGCTTCTGGTGTCAAATGTTGAGTTCGGCAGCCCCTCTTCTAAGGTGTCAGTTGAGACATCATACCGTGGGATAGGTAAGTCACACATGGTTCTGCAGAAAAGTGCCATGAAAGAGCTCAGAAGACACTTGTCCTTCACTCAGCTGAGATTCCACTGCCACAAGAAACAGGGACGCACATTCCACGTGGTCACCACTTCCAACAGCTCAGGTGAAGCTGTGGTCCAGTACTTCAGCGGTCAGACAGATGAGCAACCGGATGCCTGTGGTTCGTTTGTGAGATTGAAGTGGGATGACAATTCCAAGTTAGCTGACATTTGCAAAGATTGGGGACTAGTAAGTGGAGAGTACTTAGTTGGAAAGTGGGGACATGGTGAAGATCAAAACAGGCTATACTGGTATCCCGCATTCAAAGTAGATGCGTATCACCTTAGGGTCCACTTGAATAACGTTGGTGACCTCAACGTAATGCAATGCGATGATGTCGCCTATCAGACCGTCAACACAATCGGCGATTTCTGGAGAGTATTTGTTCGTTAGTTGCGTTTAACTCAGAGCTGTCTGTACACCAAGCAACCCTGGACTGTGCGAATAACAGTAACATACGAATAAAGCAAAATAAAGAAAATGCACCGTTACCTTCATCAGGTTATAAGAATTTTTTTTGTTTCCATTTCGGGGCAAGGGAAAGCAATCCTCACTGTTTCCGGTGGGGCCAGTTTGAAAATATTTTCTCATACATCCCAACTCGAATATGAATGCCAAAAATTACTTTTGGTACGTAGGCAGGCACCCACATTTGCTGCGGTTTCACGGTGAACGACCTTAGCACGCGAGAGTCGAAAGTTAAAGTTGTTGTTTTTTCGGGGGCTTAGGGAAGTTTGTTCACCCTAGAAAGTTAGTGTATTTTGATTCACGGCGCGTGACATATTCAACCATCCAATCAAAAAACGTATTTGAGTTGAGATGTACATAACTATTAAATTTTCACAACTGCTTCCTTCTAAATAAAGGTTGAACTAGTGACCACGTCAACCTCAGTGTTCAGTTCAAGAATTCTAAACATGATTGGCTAGTTGATCGGATCGCGAGCGTCGCGCGTGAATACTAAAAATTCCAGAGCAAGAGAAAAGAACACTTTGCAGTTCGAAAACAATTCACGACTGACTCGAGAAAATTTCAACGACCTGTTTGATATGGTGGGAAGCTATTGAGAAAAACTATGCTTCGCACAAGAAGTCGAGGCTAGCTAGCTGCATGGGAAACCTCCCAGACAATAAAAAAGTAATCATACAGATATTGACCTTCAACCCCTCAGGGATTGGGGGGAGGATTTTTTTCCACTTTTTAGACATGACACGAGTTTTTATACTGTAGCCAATCACTATCGAAGAAATTTTAATTTTCAATGATTGAGAGGTTTATATCAAACAATAACCGGGCATTATATATATATATATACTTTTTTTATTGTGTTCAGAGCTTCACACAAGTTAAGAACGATACTATGCTTTTAGTACCCATAAGCTCCTTTTCCTCCAGGTTTTCAGTCGACTCAAATCTCGATACCAGCAACGTCATGTGCCTCTTGGAAGAAAACGTTGTCGTTGTGGCGGACCGGAGTAGGTTACATAAGAGCTCTTTTCATACCGCATGCAGTTTACAATTAGGAGGCTAGAATAGTCGTCATTCCATACAGAGGGGGTTCTCCTATCATATCGAAGGTCTCTGTGTCAGAAGGTCCACTAAAACTCACACGAGCGACAATCTCGCTAAGAGGTCGAGACTGGACATTGCTTGTTTAAAGATCAGTGGTATCTATGTTCTCTCAGTGATGCAATGCCGATGCCTCGCGTGCAGATTTGCTCGATTGTTCATGACAAAATACTGTAAACGAATAATAGCTATAACTCATGTTTGTTGTATTCAGCTAATTGTCGAGAGAGGATTTGTCCGTTAATTTTTCTAGTTTTTAATTTAATCCTTACTGGCCTTACGCCTAGCCATGGTAAGAATTCTCAATTTTACTACCTCGATAAAATAAATGACAAAAATACAGATAAAATGCATCATTTTACGCGAAAGCGCACTTACAGTCTAGACAGTCAGAACTATTGTTAGGAAACGTGATAACGCGATTCCTTGTTTAAAGACGACGAAACATGGCTAGGAAACGTAATAAAGCGATTCATTGGTCTAAGACGGCGAAACTACAGCTAGAAAGCCTCTAAAAACTATAAAAACTATAGGGTTGTGACGTAGGACCCCACATAGACTGTTCCATTTCAAGCTTGACTTGTCCATTTCACTTTTGTATTTTTGGCGGTTACGGCGAAAACCAACTGCTGTAACACTAAACCATTTCGGTTTCTACTAAACTTATTGTCGTCACGCTAAACCATTTCACTTTACGGTGAGTAGATTGATGCGATACTGAGCCATTGCGGCCTACTATCAACCATTTGCCGATAGCTTGAGCCATTTCACACTACTCTGAACTGTTTGTGTCAAGTCACTGAACCAAAGTACAGTTAGCTGAACCGTTTGTCATTTCGACACTGAGTTGAGTAACTTTTGCAAGCCAAGTTTTAATCCTTAGCAGGAAAGGTTCCTTTATATGAGCTGGTAGTTTAAAAAGCCCTCCGTATTCTTTCGCCGAATCAGACAAAGTGTAATTAACAAAACCCTAAATTCACAATCAGAACTATTTGTTACATCGATAAAGGGAAAGCGCGACATTTGTCATCTGTTTTTCTTTCTTTCTCAAATTACAGGATGAGAGGGCATCTAGTTAGTTTCAAGTTCTGTCCCGTTCTGTTGAGTGGTGTTGCTGTATTTCTTGTGGGTTTTAGTTCGTCTTTGCACACTGAGGTGTTGACTCTCTTTATACTCTGTTAGCCACAACAAATCCTCCTAAAAATCTCTACGCGCAACTCTCATAACTCCTAGGGCTTCTTCATATGATGACCTCTTAAAACAGGGTAAACAACTACACACAAACCGTATTATGAAAGTATCCAAAGTAAATTGTATAATAAGAAAATGAAACACGATTATGTTGTTTTTCCAGGATTTGAGCTAATTGGTCATATCACCAAGACATTATACGCTGACGAAATGACCTGTGGATTGAGATGCCTTCAAGATGAAAAATGCCAATCTTACAACAGCAAATCCGATGTTAATGATGCAAAGAAGGAATGTCAACTGAGTAACCGAACTGAAAAATCAAGTCCAGAAAACTTAACTTTAGGAACAAGTCATATTTTTATCACCTGGGTGGAGGGGGAGAAGAGGGGGAGGGAAAAGTCGGAGCATTTTGGTTGTCACAATATATCGAGTCAGCCAATTTTCTTTAGTCCCACCTTTAAACTCCGTCAGCGACGACTGATCCCCTCTCTGTTCCCATTGAAAACCAGGATACCCCCCTCCCCCCCGCAAGACCCTCCTACCCCTCCCACTCCCTTTTTCCTAGCGAAAAATGGTGACGTATTCCTTACTTCTACTAAGCGCTTTTCAGAGAATCTAAAGTTTATATTTCTGCTCATCCGGCCTTCTCCTGTAAGGAAATTCTGGACTCTGGGCACTCCAAAGGAGACGGGGAGTATTGGATCGACCCCGAGAAGAGTGGAAACCCTTTGAGGGTCTATTGTGGCATGTCAAGATATGGTAATAAGAGAATAAGTTTTTTCTAGAGACAGAAGGACTTAAACCGGAGTATGTTTGACTTGGAGAAGTTTCTATTGGAACATTCTGGCCTTGGCTATTCGTGCTTTCTCTACAAAGATCCTTATTATGTTTTTTAATCGAAACTGTAACAAAATTCTCGAACGCGATTGGTTATCACCTGCCGGCCGATTTTACCACAACAAGACAGTATACGCGTCATACTTGTAATTGGACAGTGTAATAGGACAGTTAAATGAACCTTTAACACGTCATGCCTGTATGAGGGGACAGAACGCGTCATGTGCACGCGCTGTTGTCTCACATTTCGCCGAGTAAACTGTTGTTTTTAGTTAACAATCAAGAGCTTGTTTGATTGATGATCATTTCCTTCATTCTCATGACTTTAATGTGTGATTCAGGGGTGATATTGTAAGGAGAAACTAGATGCTAATCACTCTTTGGGGTCAGAGTTAAAATTTGCTTGAACTTAAAAAAAAAGTGATGTGATTTGGGGAAGTAAAGACCCGTAATCAGGAAAGATAATAGGAGTAAGATGGCTTTTTTATGAAATGGATATTTTTTTATTCTAGACTCTCTTATATTGCTGTTTTTATGTTCTTTAACCCTTTAACTCCCATGAGTGACCAAGACAGAATTTCTCTTTACACTATCAATACAATATTAACCAGATAAGTGGTGAGAATAAAGAAAAATTTCAATTTGGGGATAATTAGTTGATCCAATATTAAATTCTTTAAACTAAAGTTATAAGAATTGTGTGGTTTTGTGGCAAAAAAACTAGCGTTCACCGTACGGAAGACTTAGATTGAGTTCACGGAAAACGCGGCATTTTTCAAACGTTTACTCATGTTTTGCCGTACGGAAAATGCAACGTTTTCTGTGCGTTTTCGCATCGGTGAATCCCAGTATTCGTTCCATTATACGATAGTTTTCCTTCGCGGTAAATGCAGGTAAACAAATCATTTTCCGGCATTAATCGCTCGGTTTACTCACTGCAAACAGCGTGTTTTCCTTTTATTCATTGGCATTTTCCAAGTGTACAACAACGCATACACCGGAGTCAGGAACACACAAAAACATGTATGGTACAGCAGATATACCAACACACTGTGAGTCATAAATGTACCAGTTAGAACGTGAGAAGGAATCCTGTCAGTTTCATCACTGAAGAAAACTTTTAACCTTGAAATTTCATCTTGTAGTTCTTTCAGTTTTCACTAGCCGAATTTAGCTTTGTTTGGTGGGAAAAAGTTACTATGTATCCTGAATGCTACTGATTGATACTCATAAAAAACTGGGTACAGGAGAAAAGAAATCCGGATAATAAAGACAATCCGAGTAATCTAGGTTTGTTTCTAGTTAAATTCCCCCACGCTTTACTCGAATGTAAAGAAACGCCAACCCCAAGTCGTGATCAGTACTTCGTGCAAAGTTGACTGATGCATAATTAATGTATGGGTTCTTAAGCTGTTTCTATTTATTTCTTTTAATCATTGTCTCAAAGTTCATTAAAATTGTATGAAAAGTTGACAAAAGAGTTTTTCGATACAAAAATACGAGAGGAGTGGAAGGAAACTGAAGGTAAGAATATACTGGTTTCAAGACGATTGCTCTCTAACTTTGACAACAACATAAATCTTGAATAGTCAGCCGCTTCAATAAATACGTTTGAGTGAGAAGTATATATACAAAAGACCTTTACTACCGAATAAACGTGAGAAGAAAAGTCGAGGAAAAGTAAGAAACAAGGTAAGTTTGATTGAGAAACTCGATGTATTTACTTACTATCGGGTGAGCAACTTGTGCAAGCCAGCGGACAAGTTTTCATTCTTCGCAGGGATGATTCCTTT